GTTAGCGTAGCTTAAAATAAAGCAAAGCACTGAAAATGCTTAGATGGACTTCATAGCCCCGCAAACATACAAAGGTTTGGTCCTGGCCTTATTATTAGTTATAGGTAGACTTACACATGCTAGACTCCACACACCAGTGAAGAATCCCATGAAATCACCTACCAAGTGATCAAAAGGAGATGGTATCAAGCACACTAAAGTAAAGTAGCTAAAGACACCTTGCTAAGCCACACCCCCACGGGAAACAGCAGTGATAAAAATTAAGCAATGAACGAAAGTTTGACTTAGTCATACCAATAAGGGTTGGTAAATCTCGTGCCAGCCACCGCGGTCATACGATTGACCCAAACTAATAATCACCCGGCGTAAAGCGTGTATATAAAATAAAATAAATAGGATAGAAAATTACCAATAACGTAGAAATTTCATGGTATAAATAATTACAATAACGAAAGTAATCCTAATAATCTTGACTACACGATAGCTAAGACACAAACTGGGATTAGATACCCCACTATGCTTAGCCCTAAACATAAATAATTCAAAAACAAAATTATTCGCCAGAGAACTACTAGCCACAGCTTAAAACTCAAAGGACTTGGCGGTACTTTATATCTGCCTAGAGGAGCTTGTTCTATAATCGATAAACCCCGTTACACCTTACCACCCCTTGCTAATTCAGCCTATATACCGCCATCTTCAGCAAACCCTGTCAAGGACAAACAGTGAGCTAAATGATAATCGTAAATACGTTAGGTCAAGGTGTAGCCAATGAGGTGGAAAGCAATGAGCTACATTTTCTACATAAGAAAATTACGGATCCCTCCATGAAATTGGAGGGTGAAGGAGGATTTAGTAGTAAATTAAGAATAGAGAGCTTAATTGAACTCAGCAATGAAGTACGCACACACCGCCCGTCACTCTCCTCAAGTACTAAAATTGAAACTATTAATTTATAAGCCAATAATAAATATTAGAGGAGACAAGTCGTAACAAGGTAAGCATACTGGAAAGTGTGCTTGGCAAAACCAAAGCGTAGCTTATATAAAGCATCTGGCCTACACCCCGAAGATTCCATCACCAAGGACGCTCTGAACCATTCCTAGCCCAACCACTACTCAACTAAATTATTATCACACAATAAATTAAAACATTTACTACCTAAATAAAAGTATAGGAGATAGAAATTATTACAAGGCGCTATAGAGACAGTACCGTAAGGGAAAGATGAAAGAATAATTCAAAGTACAACAAAGCAAAGATTAACCCTTGTACCTTTTGCATAATGAATTAACTAGAAAACCTATAACAAAAAGAATTTTAGCTATAGACCCCGAAACCAAACGAGCTACCTAAGAACAATTTTATGAATGAACCCGTCTATGTGGCAAAATAGTGGGATGATTTTTAGGTAGAGGTGAAAAGCCTAACGAGCTTGGTGATAGCTGGTTACCCAGAAAACGAATATTAGTTCTTCCTTAAATTTTACCATAAGAACACAAAATCCAAACGTAATCTTAAAGGATAATCTAAAGAGGGACAGCTCTTTAGATAAAGGACTCAACCTTAAATAGAGAATAAACTAAACTAAATACCATAGTTGGCTTAAAAGCAGCCACCAATTAAGAAAGCGTTCAAGCTCAACCCCAAATACAACCCCAATTCCCAAAATCACAATGAATTCCTAAACATAATACTGGGTCAATCTATAAGACTATAGATGAGATAATGTTAGTATGAGTAACAAGAAAAAATTCTCCATGCACAAGCCTATAACAAACCGAATACTCATTGTTAATTAACAAAATTCTAGACATAAACCAAATATAAATTCACTAGATCAACTAATTGTTAATCCAACACAGGAGTGCACCAAGGAAAGATTAAAAGAAGTAAAAGGAACTCGGCAAAAAAAACCCCGCCTGTTTACCAAAAACATCACCTCTAGCATTACTAGTATTAGAGGCACTGCCTGCCCAGTGACACACGTTAAACGGCCGCGGTATCCTGACCGTGCAAAGGTAGCATAATCACTTGTTCCTTAATTAGGGACTCGCATGAAAGGCAAGACGAGGGTTTAACTGTCTCTTACTTCCTATCAGTGAAATTGACCTACCCGTGAAGAGGCGGGTATAAACAAATAAGACGAGAAGACCCTATGGAGCTTTAATCAACTCTCTTACTAACTAACACTAACAACCTAATGGACTAACAATACAAATTAGATAAGAGAAAGATTTCGGTTGGGGTGACCTCGGAGTACAAAAAAACCTCCAAGTGACTCAACTCTAGGCCTACTAGCCTAAAGATACTTAAGTAGTCAACAATTGATCCAATCATGAAATTGATCAACGGACCAAGTTACCCTAGGGATAACAGCGCAATCCTATTTAAGAGTTCCTATCGACAATAGGGTTTACGACCTCGATGTTGGATCAGGACATCCAAATGGTGCAGCCGCTATTAATGGTTCGTTTGTTCAACGATTAAAGTCCTACGTGATCTGAGTTCAGACCGGAGTAATCCAGGTCGGTTTCTATCTATTAACAACTTCTCCTAGTACGAAAGGACCAGAGAAGTAAGGTCAACTATTCAATAGCACCTTTAACATAACATATGAAACTATCTAAATATACAAAATATGTAACACCACCACCCAAGATAAGGGTTATTGGGGTGGCAGAGCTTGGAAATTGCATAAAACTTAAAACCTTATAATCAGAGGTTCAAATCCTCTCCCTAATAGTGCACCTAATTAATATATTAACCCTATTGCTACCAATCCTAGTAGCCATAGCCTTCCTAACCCTAGTAGAACGAAAAACCCTAGGATATATACAACTACGAAAAGGCCCAAACGTAGTTGGCCCATATGGTGTACTCCAACCCTTCGCCGACGCTATAAAACTATTTACCAAGGAACCACTAAAACCTTTAACCGCATCACTAACCCTTTTTATTATTGCCCCAACCCTGGCCCTCACACTAGCACTATCCTTATGAATCCCACTACCAATGCCCTACCCCCTACTCAACCTAAACCTAGGAGCCCTATTCATCCTAGCAACCTCAAGCCTATCAGTATACTCAATCCTATGATCGGGTTGAGCCTCAAACTCCAAATACGCACTAATTGGAGCCCTACGGGCAGTAGCCCAAACAATTTCATACGAAGTAACACTAGCCATTATTCTCCTATCCATCCTCCTACTATCAGGATCCTTTTCACTATTATCAGTAATCTCATCACAAGAACTGACCTGATTCCTACTACCGGCATGACCATTAGCCTTCATATGATTTATCTCTACACTAGCAGAAACAAACCGAGCCCCATTTGATCTAACAGAAGGAGAATCTGAACTAGTATCAGGCTTCAATGTAGAATACGCTGCAGGTCCATTCGCACTATTCTTCATAGCAGAATACACCAACATCATCATAATAAATGCCCTATCAACAATCATTTTTCTTGGAGCCGTGTATAATCCACACAACCCAGAACTATTCACACTCAACTTCATACTCAAAACATTAATTTTAACAACCATATTTTTATGAATCCGAGCATCATACCCACGATTCCGATATGACCAGCTAATACACTTATTATGAAAAAACTTTCTACCACTAACCCTAGCATTCTGCATATGACACATCTCAATACCAATAACTATAGCAAGCATCCCACCATACACATAGAAACATGTCCGACAACAGAGTTACTTTGATAGAGTAAAAAATAGAGGTCAAGCCCTCTTGTTTCTAGAACTTCAGGCATCGAACCTATACCTAAGGTCTCAAAAACCTTCGTGCTACCATTACACCAAATTCTACAAATCCAAGTAAGGTCAGCTAAATTAAAGCTATCGGGCCCATACCCCGAAAATGTTGGTCTAACCCTTCCCGTACTAATTAACATCCTGGCGCTAACCATCATCTTACTAACAATCTTCGTCGGGTCTATCATTACCATTCTCAGCAACCACTTAATCCTAATATGAGCTGGCTTAGAAATAAGCATGCTAGCCATTATCCCCATCTTAATATTCAACTCTAACCCCCGTTCCACAGAAGCAGCTACAAAATATTTCCTAATCCAAGCAACTGCCTCTATAATTTTACTCTTAGCCATTATCCTAAATTACCACGACCTAGGAATTTGACAATTCCACCACAATACACAATTTTACATCTACTCACTAGTATTAATTGCCCTAATAATAAAACTAGGCCTAGCCCCATTTCACTTCTGAGTACCAGAAGTTACCCAAGGGGTCCCAATCTTAAGCGGACTTCTACTACTCACCTGACAAAAAATTGCCCCACTAGCCATCATATTTCACATCTCATATTACCTAAATACTACCATAGTACCACTATCAGCTCTAATATCAGTCTTTATTGGCGGCTGAGGAGGACTAAACCAAACACAACTACGAAAAATCCTAGCCTACTCCTCAATCGCCCACATAGGCTGAATAGTAGCTGTAACCATATATAACCCAACAATAATATTACTAAACCTGGTAATCTATATATTCCTAACAACATCAATATTTATCACAGTATATATCTGTACCTCCACATCCATTTCCTCATTCACAAAAATATGAAACAAATCCCCACTACTAATCTCAACCACCCTAATCATCCTAATATCATTAGGTGGTTTACCACCCCTCACAGGATTCCTACCCAAATGGATAATTATCATCGAACTAACAAAAAACAACTGCATCTTCATAGCCCTATCAATAACAATAATAGCCCTACTAAACCTCTACTTCTACACTCGTCTTATTTATGCATCATCAATAACAGCCTTCCCTACATCCAACAACATAAAAACTAATACACACCACCAAAACAGTAAAAAACACCCACTTCTATCACCACTAATCATCATCTCCTCCCTAGCATTACCACTATCTCCACTAGTAAGCTCACTATACTAGAAGCTTAGGATACTTCCAGTCCGAAGGCCTTCAAAGCCTTAAGAAAACACAACGTTTAGCTTCTGACCTAAGGACTACAAGTATAAATCTCGCATCTTCTGAACGCAAATCAATCGCTTTAATTAAGCTAAATCCTCCTAGATTGATGGGACTCTAACCCACGAAAACTTAGTTAACAGCTAAATACCCAAAACAACGGGCTTCAATCTACTTCTCCCGCCTAATAAAAAAAAAGGCGGGAGAAGCCCCGGCAGCTGTAGCTGCTTCTTCGAATTTGCAATTCAACATGTTAAACACCTCGAGGCTATGGTAAGAAGGGTACTTTCCCTGTCTTTAGATTTACAGTCTAATGCTTACTCAGCCATCTTACCTATGTTCATCACTCGTTGACTATTCTCAACCAACCATAAGGATATCGGAACACTTTATCTTATGTTTGGGGCTTGAGCTGGGATAGTAGGAACCGCTTTAAGTATCTTAATCCGAGCAGAACTTGGACAGCCAGGGGCTCTGCTAGGAGATGATCAAATTTACAATGTTGTAGTAACAGCTCACGCATTTATCATAATTTTCTTCATAGTTATACCGATCATAATCGGAGGTTTTGGAAACTGACTTGTTCCACTCATGATTGGAGCACCAGATATAGCCTTTCCTCGTATAAATAACATAAGCTTTTGACTCCTTCCCCCATCATTCCTACTCCTGCTAGCATCATCAATAGTAGAAGCCGGGGCAGGTACAGGATGAACAGTATATCCACCTCTAGCCGGAAATTTGGCCCATGCTGGAGCCTCCGTAGACCTTACAATTTTCTCCTTGCACTTAGCAGGTGTCTCATCAATCCTTGGAGCAATTAATTTCATCACAACAATTATTAACATAAAACCCCCAGCTGTCACTCAATACCAAACACCTCTATTTGTATGATCAGTCCTAATCACGGCAGTTCTTCTACTACTAGCACTACCAGTTCTCGCTGCGGGTATTACCATATTACTGACAGACCGCAACCTAAACACCACATTCTTTGATCCGGCCGGAGGAGGGGATCCAATTCTATATCAACATCTATTTTGATTCTTCGGACACCCAGAAGTATACATCTTAATCCTTCCTGGATTTGGTATCATCTCACACGTCGTGACATACTATTCTGGAAAAAAAGAACCATTTGGATATATAGGAATAGTTTGAGCCATAATATCAATCGGATTCCTGGGCTTTATTGTATGAGCCCACCATATATTTACAGTAGGACTAGACGTGGATACCCGAGCCTATTTCACTTCAGCAACAATAATCATTGCAATCCCAACAGGAGTAAAAGTCTTTAGTTGATTAGCTACCCTCCACGGAGGTAATATTAAATGATCACCAGCTATACTCTGAGCCCTAGGGTTTATCTTCTTATTCACAATTGGGGGTTTAACAGGAATTGTATTATCAAATTCATCACTGGACATTGTACTCCATGACACCTACTACGTAGTAGCACACTTCCACTACGTACTATCCATAGGAGCAGTATTCGCAATTATAGCTGGATTTATCCACTGATTTCCATTATTCACAGGATTTTCACTAAGCGAAACATGAGCAAAAATCCACTTCGCAGTAATATTCGTAGGAGTTAACATAACATTCTTCCCACAACATTTTTTAGGTCTATCAGGAATACCACGACGATATTCCGATTATCCAGATGCCTACACGACATGAAATGTAATTTCATCCATAGGCTCATTCATTTCCCTAACCGCAGTAATAATCATAGTATTTATGGTTTGAGAAGCATTTGCATCAAAACGAGAAGTTGAAGCAGTAGATCTTACCTCAACTAACCTAGAATGACTACACGGTTGTCCTCCACCCTACCACACATTCGAAGAACCAACATATGTAAAAGTTAATTAAGAAAGGAAGGAATCGAACCCCCTAAAATTGGTTTCAAGCCAACACCATAACCTCTATGTCTTTCTTTATGAGATATTAGTAAAATAATTACATAACTTTGTCAAAGTTAAATTACAGCCCAACACTGTATATCTCAATGGCTTACCCGCTGCAATACGGCCTACAGGATGCTACATCCCCAATTATAGAAGAATTAATAAATTTCCACGACCATACACTTATAATTGTATTCTTAATTAGTTCAATAGTACTATATGTAATTACAGCCATACTAACCACACGTCTAACACACACCAACACAATAGATGCCCAAGAAGTAGAAACAATCTGAACCATTCTACCAGCCGTCATCCTAATTCTAATCGCCCTACCATCTCTTCGAATCCTTTACATAATAGATGAAATTAACAACCCTGCTCTTACAGTCAAAACTATAGGCCACCAATGATACTGAAGCTATGAGTACACAGACTACGAAGACCTAAACTTCGACTCATACATGATCCCAACATCCGAACTAAAACCTGGAGAGCTTCGACTCCTAGAAGTCGACAACCGCGTAGTCTTACCAGTAGAACTACCAATTCGAATATTAATTTCTTCAGAAGATGTGCTCCACTCATGGGCTGTTCCATCCCTGGGTTTAAAAACAGATGCTATCCCTGGACGACTTAATCAAGCCACAATCACATCAACTCGCCCAGGATTATTCTATGGGCAGTGTTCAGAAATCTGTGGTTCAAATCACAGTTTCATACCAATCGTACTAGAAATAGTGCCACTAAAGCACTTTGAAAATTGATCCTCAACAATGGTCTAAACATTATGAAGCTTTTAGCGCTAGCCTTTTAAGCTAGAGATAGGGAATACAAGCCCCCCATAATGAAATGCCACAACTTGATACATCCACATGATCAACCGTAATCATAACATCCTTAGTAACCCTTTTTATTATTCTACAACTAAAACTATCATCATTTAACCTAACCCCCACACCCTCACCAAAACAAACAAAATTTAACAAAACACACAACCCATGAGACAAAAAATGAACGAAAATCTATTTGCCTCTTTCGCTACCCCTACACTAATAGGCCTCCCCATTGTAATTCCCATCATTATATTCCCAACCCTATTTTTTAAAACAACAAACAAATTAATCAACAACCGAGTAACAACAGCCCAACAATGATTAATTAAACTTATTACCAAACAAATAATATTTACACACTCACCAAAAGGCCGCACATGATCTCTAATACTCACCTCACTCATCATCTTTATTGGATCTACAAACCTCCTAGGGCTGCTTCCCCATACATTTACCCCAACCACACAACTCTCAATAAACTTAGGCATAGCAATCCCAATGTGGGCAGGAGCTGTAATCCTAGGCTTCCGTTATAAAACAAAAGCATCACTAGCCCACTTCCTACCCCAAGGTACCCCTATTACCCTAATCCCAATACTAGTTATCATTGAAACAATTAGCCTATTCATTCAACCTATAGCACTAGCTGTACGTCTAACAGCTAACATCACAGCGGGACACCTACTAATTCATCTAATTGGAGGTGCTACACTAGTATTAACCACAATTAGCCTATCAACAGCCAGCATTACCTTCCTAATTCTAATAATACTTACCATCCTAGAACTTGCTGTAGCTATAATCCAAGCCTACGTATTTACCCTACTAGTTAGTCTATACCTACAAGACAACACATAATAATGACCCACCAAACACACGCCTTTCACATAGTAAATCCCAGCCCATGGCCTCTTACAGGAGCACTATCAGCCTTCCTCCTAACTTCAGGCCTTATCATATGATTCCACTTTAACTCCTTCACCCTTCTAACAATTGCCACAGCAGGTAATATCCTAACTATATACCAGTGATGACGAGATGTAGTGCGTGAAGGAACATTTCAAGGCCACCACACCCCACCAGTACAAAAGGGGTTACGATACGGTATAATCCTGTTTATCGTATCAGAAGTATTCTTCTTTTCCGGATTCTTCTGAGCATTTTACCACTCAAGCCTTGCCCCAACACCAGAACTAGGGGGATGTTGACCACCAACAGGAATTAACCCACTCAATCCAATTGAAGTACCACTGCTTAACACAGCAGTACTTCTAGCATCAGGTGTATCTATCACCTGAGCTCACCATAGCCTAATAGAAGGAAAACGAAATCACATAATCCAAGCATTATTAATCACAATCCTTCTAGGCCTATACTTCACCCTACTCCAAGCATCAGAATACCTAGAAGCACCATTTACAATCTCTGATGGCATCTACGGTTCTACATTCTTTGTAGCAACAGGGTTTCACGGTCTACATGTAATCATTGGCTCTACGTTCCTACTCACATGCCTCCTACGACAACTAAATTTTCACTTCACCTCAAAACACCATTTCGGCTTTGAAGCCGCAGCCTGATACTGACACTTCGTAGACGTAGTCTGACTTTTCCTATATGTATCAATTTACTGATGAGGGTCCTATTCTTTTAGTATAAAAAGTACTTTTGACTTCCAATCAAACAGATCAGAACAAACACCTGAAAAGAATAATAAACTTACTAATTACCATAATAATAAACATCAGCCTTTCCATAATCCTGATTTCCGTAGCCTTCTGACTTCCACAACTAAACCTATACTCAGATAAAGCCAGTCCATATGAATGCGGATTTGATCCAATAGGATCTGCTCGCCTTCCATTTTCCATAAAATTTTTCCTTATCGCCATCACATTCCTCCTATTTGATCTAGAAATTGCGCTTCTCCTACCCATTCCATGAGCAATCCAATACGGAAACCTCACAGGAGTAGTACTAACAACCCTAGGGCTACTAATCATTTTAGCCTTAGGACTAATATACGAATGATTTAACAAAGGTCTAGAATGAACAGAATAATACTGGTAATTAGTTTAAACAAAACAAATGATTTCGACTCATTAAATCATGGGCATAACCATGAATACCAAATGACCCCTGTATTCTTTAACTTACTCCTCACATTTATCCTGTCACTACTCGGAGCCTTAATATTCCGATCCCACCTAATATCAACCCTACTATGCTTAGAAGGAATAATTTTATCTTTATTTACCATAACATCTCTGATTACACTAAACTCCCACTCAATACTATCCTTTATTATTCCAATCATCATTCTAGTTTTCGCAGCTTGCGAAGCCGCCGTAGGCCTAGCACTACTAGTGATAGTATCAGACACATATGGTACAGATTACGTACAAAACCTTAACCTCCTACAATGTTAAAAATTATTCTGCCATCCATTATACTCTTACCACTAACCTGATTCACAAACAACAAAACAGTATGAACAAACACCACATGTCACAGCCTAATAATTAGCCTCATCTCACTATCCCTACTACACCAAGACTCCACAAACAGTTATAACTTTTCCACAACATTCTTCTCAGACCCATTATCCACACCACTAGTAATCCTAACAACATGACTCCTACCACTAATACTCCTAGCTAGCCAAAACCACCTATCAAAAGAACAAGAAAACTATAAAAAAATATATATCAGCCTCCTAACACTTCTTCAAGTATTCCTAATCATAACATTTACCGCAACAGAACTAATACTATTTTATATCCTATTCGAAGCAACCCTAATCCCCACACTAATTATTATTACACGTTGAGGAAACCAAACAGAACGTTTAAACGCCGGATTGTACTTCTTATTTTATACATTAATTGGGTCAATCCCCCTACTAATTTCACTGATTAACTTTAATAACACCTTCGGAACTCTTAACCTAGTACTACTATCCTTAAAGCAACCTGCACTAAGCCAGTCATGATCCAATCACATTCTATGGTTAGCTTTCATATTAGCCTTCCTAGTAAAAATACCTTTATATGGAGTACACCTATGACTCCCGAAAGCCCACGTAGAAGCACCAATTGCAGGATCAATAGTTCTAGCAGCCGTACTACTAAAACTGGGGGGTTACGGAATAATACGAATCTCAATTCTACTAGATATAGTAAACAAAACCATAGCCTACCCATTCATCATATTATCACTATGAGGTATAGTAATAACCAGCTCAATCTGTATACGACAAACTGACCTCAAATCATTAATTGCTTATTCATCAGTAAGCCATATAGCCCTAGTAATTGTAGCAGTCATAATCCAAACACCATGAAGCTTTATAGGAGCTACAGCTTTAATAATTGCTCACGGACTGACCTCCTCCCTACTATTCTGTTTAGCCAACTCTAACTATGAACGAACCCACAGCCGCACTATAATACTAGCTCAAGGACTACAAACAATTCTCCCACTAATAGGAGTGTGATGAATACTAGGAAGTCTAGCCAACCTAGCACTTCCCCCATCAATTAATCTTATTGGAGAACTCCTAATCATTACATCCTCATTTTCATGATCAAACCTATCAATCCTAATAATAGGTATAAACATAATCATAACAGCCGCCTACACATTTTATATACTTATTAGCTCCCAACGAGGTAAACTAACTAATCATACTAAATTTTTACCACCAACACATACCCGTGAATCAACTATTATATCACTTCACATCATCCCAATTATCCTAATTTCCATTAACCCTAAACTTATCCTCGGACTACCTTAATGTAAATATAGTTTACATAAAACATTAGACTGTGAATCTAAAAATAGAAAACACATTTCTTATTTACCAGGAAAGTAAGCAAGAACTGCTAACTCATGCTACCGTGATTACACTCACGGCTTTCCTACTTTTACAGGATAGTAGTAATCCATTGGTCTTAGGAATCAAAAAATTGGTGCAACTCCAAATAAAAGTAATTAATATCAACGTCTCAATAAATTTACTAATCCTAACAACCCTAACAACCCCCTTACTTCTATCACTAACTAGCAAATATAACTCAAACAGCTACCCTAAACACGTAATTAACTCAATTAAATTATCGTTTCTATTTAGCCTAATCCCTCTACTCACATTTCTCAACAACAATAATGAACTCATCACATCAAACTGACACTGAATAACAATCAACTCAATTAAATTAGTTATAAGCTTTAAATTTGACTATTTCTCTTATCTATTTATTCCAGTAGCATTATTTGTAACATGGTCAATCACGGAATTTTCTTCATGATATATACACTCCGACCCAAACCTAAACCGATTCATAAAATACTTACTAATATTCTTAATAACCATAATTATCCTAGTATCAGCTAACAACCTATTTCAACTATTCATTGGATGAGAAGGAGTAGGAATCATATCATTTTTACTAATTGGTTGGTGATTCGGACGAACAGATGCCAACACCGCAGCTCTACAAGCCATTTTATACAATCGCATCGGAGATATCGGCCTAATTCTATCTATAGCCTGATTTACAATCCACACAAACTCATGAGAGCTACAACAAATCTTCATCTTCAACACGAACACTGACATTCTACCATTATTAGGTATTCTACTAGCCGCAACAGGCAAATCAGCCCAATTTGGACTCCACCCATGACTTCCCTCAGCTATAGAAGGGCCAACACCAGTATCAGCTCTATTACACTCAAGTACAATAGTTGTAGCCGGAGTATTCCTAATAATCCGATTCTACCCACTAACACAAAACAACCAAACTATCCTAACTTTAACACTATGCCTAGGAGCAATAACCACACTATTTACCGCAATATGTGCTCTTACACAAAACGACATCAAAAAAATCGTAGCATTCTCCACCTCAAGCCAACTTGGCTTAATATTTGTTACCCTAGGGATTAATCAACCACACCTAGCATTCCTTCACATCTGTACCCACGCCTTCTTCAAAGCCATACTATTCATATGCTCCGGATCAATCATCCACAACCTAAATAATGAACAAGACATCCGAAAAATAGGAGGACTGTTTAAATCCATACCATTCACCTCATCCTGCTTAACCATCGGAAGCCTCGCACTGACAGGGATACCATTCCTAACAGGTTTCTACTCAAAAGACTTAATCATCGAAACCCTTAATACGTCTAATACCAACGCCTGAGCCTTACTAGTCACACTAATCGCCACCTCAATAACTGCTGTATACAGCACACGAATCATCTTCTTCGTTGTAATATCTAAACCACACTTCACCCCAACAATCACAATAAACGAAAATAACCCTCAACTTATTAACCCTATTAACCGCCTAGCCCTGGGGAGTATCCTAGCAGGATTTATAATTACCTCAAATCTCCCACCAACTAATATTCCCACAATAACAATACCACTATCACTAAAATTAATAGCCATTACAATTTCTATTTTAGGGTTTACAGTCGCCATAGACCTAAACAACATAACCTCAACACTTAAACACAAATCACCTACCCCCACACACAAATTCACCACACTGCTAGGATACTTTCCATCAATTATCCACCGCCTATTACCAGTCAAAAGCCTAACTATAAGCCAAAACATAGCATCAAACCTAATAGACCTAATTTGACTAGAAAAAGCTATCCCAAAAACAATTGCCAACACACAAATAACTGCTTCCATCATTACATCAAACCAAAAAGGACTTATCAAACTCTACTCACTATCATTCCTAATAAATATTACCATTATCTCACTACTCACCCTAACCTATTACCTCGAGTAATTTCAATAATAATAAAAATACTAACAAACAAAGTTCATCCAGCAACTACCACTATTCACCCAGCACAACTATATATAGCCGCCGCACCCATCCCATCCTCACTAATCAACCCAATCTCTTCCCCTTCAAAAACCACTCAATCCTCTATATTATTAAACTCAACAACCAACTCCACATCACCATCATTACCTAACCAAAATACTAATAACAACTCTATAATAATACCAACCACTAATAACCCAAGAACTAACCAATTAGACCCCCAAGACTCCGGATACTCCTCAGAAGCCATAGCCGCAGTATAACCAAATACAACCAACATACCACCCAAATAAATCAAAAACACCATTAAACCTAAAAACTGACCACCAAAACTCAACACAATTCCACAACCAACACAACCACCAACAATTAAACACAATCCACCATATACAGGAGAAGGTTTAATTGACAAACCAATAAAGCAAGTAACAAGAGCTACACTCATAATAAAAACATAATTGGACATAGTTCCTACATAGCATTTAACTAAGACCAATGACATGAAAAATCATCGTTGTAATTCAACTACAGAAACCCTAATGACAAACCTACGTAAATCACACCCCCTAATCAAAATTATTAATCACTCACTCATCGATTTACCAACACCATCTAGTATCTCAACATGATGAAACTTCGGATCCCTACTAGGAGTATGCCTAGGATTACAAATCGTTACCGGGCTATTCCTAGCAATACACTACACATCCGACACCCTTACGGCCTTTTCATCAGTAACCCATATCTGTCGAGACGTTAACTACGGCTGAATAATCCGATATCTACACGCCAACGGCGCATCCATATTCTTCATCTGCCTGTTCCTACACGTAGGACGAGGTATCTACTATGGGTCTTACCACTTCAAAGAAACATGAAACATTGGCATCATCTTATTATTCACAGTAATAGCAACCGCATTTATAGGATATGTTCTCCCATGAGGACAAATATCATTTTGAGGAGCTACGGTCATTACAAATCTATTATCAGCCATCCCATATATAGGAACAACCCTAGTAGAATGAATTTGAGGAGGATTCTCAGTAGACAAAGCCACACTCACCCGATTCTTCGCCTTCCACTTCATCCTACCATTCATCATCACAGCCCTAGTGATAGTTCACCTTTTATTCCTTCACGAAACAGGATCAAGTAACCCATCAGGCCTAGACTCCAATGCCGATAAAATCCCATTTCACCCATATTTTACAATTAAGGACATCCTAGGAGCTATAGTATTAACGATTACCCTCACATCCCTAGTCCTATTTTTCCCAGACCTACTAGGAGATCCAGACAACTACACCCCCGCAAACCCCCTAAATACACCACCACACATCAAACCAGAATGATACTTCCTATTCGCCTACGCCATCCTACGCTCCATCCCAAACAAACTAGGAGGGGTATTAGCCCTAATCTTATCAATCCTAATCCTAGCTATTATACCCATACTACACACATCAGCCCAACGAAGCCTAACCTTCCGACCAATCAGCCAACTACTATTCTGAATACTAGTAGCAGATCTAATTACCCTAACATGAATTGGAGGTCAACCGGTTGAACACCCATTCATCATTATTGGCCAAGTAGCCTCAATTCTATACTTCTCAATCATCCTAATCCTAATACCACTAGCAGGTTTAGTAGAAAATAAAATCATAAAACTCTAATATAGTCTAGGTAGTATAAATAATTACCCTGGTCTTGTAAACCAGAAATGGGACCCAATAAACCCCTAGACATCAAGGAAGAGAAACCTTTCCCACCATCAACACCCAAAGCTGACATTCTCATTAAACTATTCCTTGACTTATGTAATTCGTGCATTCATTTATATACCACATTAATAATTAAGCAAGTACAAGAAAAATATATAAAGTACATAATACATTTATGTATATAGTACATTAAATTATCTACCACTAACTTATAAGCAAGTACAATAAATCATTAATATTACATAAAACATACTATTATTATCGTACATAAAATTACAATCCACATGAATATCCATGTAATACATTACATTAATGCTTGATGGACATATCTGCGTTATCAGGCATACACCATCCTAGTCAAATCATTTCTCTTCCATATGACTATCCACTTCCAACGTTGGTCTGTTCATCTACCATCCTCCGTGAAACCAGCAACCCGCCCACTAGTACCTCTCTTCTCGCTCCGGGCCCATTTAACTTGGGGGTAGCTAACAATGCACTTTATCAGACATCTGGTTCTTACTTCAGGGCCATTGAATGTTTTATCGTCCATACGTTCCCCTTAAATAAGACATCTCGATGGATTAATGTCTAATCAGCCCATGCCTAACATAACTGTGGTGTCATACATTTGGTATTTTTTATTTTTGGGGATGCTGTGACTCAGCATAGCCGTCAAGGCATGAAGGATCCAACCCTAGTCTAGCTGGACTTGTATGTATTATCTGTTCCACACATCTCCAACAGGTGGCTATAAGTTAATGCTTGTAGGACATATAAATTATTAATACTAAATTTCAACTTAACGACGCACGCACTATACAGTATTATCTTTTTTATTGCAAACCCCCCTTACCCCCCACCACCCCAGGTGGTGGCCTTATCTTAAATTTTGCCAAACCCCAAAAACAAAATTAAGTAAGACTTAAAACCCTCAATTATTTTCTTTCTATAAGTTGCCAAAAATATAACACCAAATTCTGTATGTGTACAAAAATCAAAAAATTTTTTTTTCACCAATGACAACTTAAATTACCTAGTAGTCACACAATACACAACAACTCAAATACAA